AGGGCAAAGAAACTTCCCTGGAAGTGGTAGATATATCCATGGAGGATAATATAGTTTTCCTTTAGTCAAGTAACAGGTTATTGCCATTAATAAAAAAAAAAAAAAAAAGCCAAGGTGTATTCGACACATTCTGCAGAATCTGGGACATTCAAAACCAAAAATAGACGCATCATCAGAAAGCAGAAAAGTACCGAGGTTTAGAATTAAGGGCGATATCCAGCCAGAGAAAATTAAGCCGATAAAACTCTAAAACGAAGCATCCATGCCATACATCCAAAGATGGAAAGAAACTAAAAGTTCAAAGTTTACTGTATAAACTGCTTTTTATTTCCATTCCATATCCATTATAGTAAAAATAACAATAATTTCGGCTCATGCATGCTCACGTTTCAGGTGTGCAACCTCTCCTTTAACAGATTTCATTGCGGCTCTAAGTCTTGCAGCTTCACCAGTTGAAGCTGCATCAAGCTCTGCAATCTTAGATTCTCTTTCTGCAAGTAGGACCTTTAATCACGGAAGAAATACAATGGATAAGCAGTCAAACTTAAAGTTGAGAAGTTCTCAAGCTTCTAAGCATATCTTAGCCCACAACATTGGAAATTGCAACATCTATACGAGATCAACGTACTAAGTCATTTCTTTATTCTAGAAGCCGAAATAAGCCCCTAGGAGCCTAAGGCAAATGCTATTCAACCGCATCAACGGTTATGCTATTTCACCAAAAAAATAGAGCAAATAACTGCAATACTGTCCTCGGATGCTGCTCATTTGTTGTCAATAGGCACCCAACATGGAAAAAAGGTCGGAACGAAAAACTCTCACCTGAAGTGAAGATATCATTTCGGTTGCTTTGCTTCTCTCAGAGGCTGCGTCAGCTAGTTGGGACTCCAAATTCTCTATGCTCTGATAAGGAAATAGAAAAGAACAAGCTTAAACGTCCAAGTGTTGAAACCAAGGCGATTATCAGACGGCACATTAGGATGCAGATGCCATTTAGCTTCTGATGTTTGGCGGTGAGTTCAGATCGAGAAGCTTGCCTCTTCTCTTCTGCAGAATTTAGCAAATTTCGAAAGTCTTCCAACATCTAGAGGTAAGCAACTTTAAATATCAGTACTATTTCCACGAGCAAAGCCAACAATTCAGCATATCCTATGCCTTTTACTGTGCAAGCTCCTCTACCTAATACTTCGTATCAGTTTGTTGGTTTGCTACTGTACAACTTTCACACATATTATCATGCAGGTCCAACACGGTGATTGCTAGCCGTGTTTACTAAATTCCCAATTAACATATATAGCTACTTAGATATTTCAAAATAGACACCTTACTTCCTTTTGTATAATGGACACGAATATGCAATCCTGAGCAGAAAAGGAGAACCATCACTCAGAGCACTACAGGGCCGATGAAATGGAACTTCCAAAATCGAACTACCTGCTCTATCTCAAGAAGGGACTGTTGCATTGACTCGGGGGCAAGATCTTTAGGTTGCGAAATCGCCGCAATTCCTCGTTGTCATCTCGAAGTCCGTGTTTAAAAAATGTTAGCACAATGATACATAGAAAGAGCACAATACAAATGGAAGAGCCCTATCATCGATTTCATCGGCTTACAACATTTCAATACGGCAGCAAAGGTTTTATAATTAATCATTACAGGAGAAAAACAAGATTAGGAATTCTGGTGAAATACAAACATATTATTACGATTTTGTTTCTTAAAGAGATTAGGTATTGCAGGCTAAACATATTATAGAAAACTTTTCTCTGAAAAAAAGCGCAGCCTAACATATTTTGAGTCTCCCCTTATCAGTTTTCATACTCCAAAAAGTGCAGTCAAATGGCTGAGAGTTCAGATGCAAACTGTATCCAACTAAAATACAGATCCAAGCAAAAACAGCAATTCAACAGACTCCCCACCATACCCAAAGTGTTTCACTGCTACGGCATGTGAAGAAAATCTCACTAAATACCAGACATGAAACTTCATCTGACCTTCAGCAAGCCTGGCTGAGATCTCCTGCGCTCGTGCATCTGCCTCCGAATGTGCTACTTGAAGATGCTTCGGAGCCTCCTCTGCTGCACCTCGTGTTTGCTTTTCCCCCAGTAGTTCTCTCTCCAGAGATTCTATTCTCTCATTGAGTCTCTTCACATCTTCACCTTCCTGCCCACCTACTTTCGTTCGTTGTGGAGACTAATCTCTTCCAAGCAAAGATCTTTTAGACCCTCAAAATGAAACTTCAAGAACTCGTTTCGAAGCTTGAGTTCAGTAGCCATCTGCACGAGCCCATCGTGAGCATCACCATAATGCGGGGTGTTTTCACATGATCCGTTCTCCTTCGCAGGAAGCCCGTTGCTTCTAAGGCTAGTCTCATTCATGCGATTCCCCGTCTCCAAAGAATTTTCCATGTTACGTTCCCTCATTTCAGCTACCCCACCTCCCTCTGCAGACATTCTAATGCTCTTGACAATCAACGTGTCCTCCGCCCAAAACAGTACCCCTTATCGTGCATCACCACATGCCTCGCCGAATGAACCAAAACAAACACGGAATGTATGCGCAGGCTCATTCAATGATGGATCTTTCTCGATTACATAACCAATCACCTTAGCTGGTATTCCTGCTACCGTGCTTCGATAAAAAAAGAAGAAACCATTAGCAAACTTTACGAGTCAATCAAATTAATAGAAAGACAATTTTATTAAAGCAGTAGTTGGGTAGTCCATTAAGAGCTTACCCATGTGGAGGAATATCATTCAATACCAGGGAACCAGCTGCGATCATCACACCCTCCCCAATTTTTATATTTCCAAGTACGGTTACACTCGCTCCAATAAGTGCACCTTCACCCAACTTTGGATGACCATCACCGGTCTCTTTTCCGCTCCCTCACAGAGTCACACCCTATCATCCGTTTTGAATCAACATAAAGTCGTCCCTTTTCACGGAGAAAGAAGCAGAATAAACAGATGACTTCTTGAAGCACGTGTTCTGCTTCAGATGTGTAAAAGCATTATTCTACAAGCAAAGCATCGAAGTATATGAAATGCAATTACACTGGTAAAAGATGACAGGCTACAAAAACAACTTTTCCTCTTCAAATGTGTGATTTCTGAAATCTGAAGTTCTTCAATGTCCACGGACAACAATTGACGTTGAAGCAGTTGCGAGTTTTGAAAGGCTAAGTTTTCGAAAGATCGAAACCTAATATAATAAAGAGCCTGGTATAGTATATTTGTACGAAGAATGCTTCTGATCATTGCCTCTTGAGTTTTGGCAAACAAAAAAGATATCTATTAAGTCCATGGTACTTCTCCGCCATTCATATGCCTAGGAGCAAAACTGATGCATCACAATGCATAATAAAAGCGACACAACAGTAATTCAGATCTCTACAGTACCGAGCCATGCTTGTAGAAGTCCCAGGGAGAATTATATGCGTCGGCAAGCAGCAGGATTTCTCGGAGGCTACCAAAAGAAAAAGCTAACGGCTTAGAAAAGAGACGGAGGGGAAAAGAGAATTGGGTTTACCGGCATCAAGGAAACTCTGTCTCCAATAACGGCAGTCTCGCCGATAACCAAGCCTGTCCCATGATCCAGTAGTATTCCCTCTCCAATTCTGGCAGACTGCAGAAAATAACCCAATTAGAAAATAGATCATGAGATAGCATTGCAAACTAAACAGTAGGAGAGAGGCTCATTATCCCTCACATATAGTACAAGTGCAATAAAACTCCCCCCATGTGTTGACTTTGACCCAAATCTATTAAAATCATCTTCACAGTTCCCAAAAGTCAAAGTTTATATGACAAAACATGATTAAGAAACCTCGAAAGTCCAGATTTGTTCAGCGATGTTTTCTGAAAGTCGGGACCAAATGCTGCTCTCCACTGTTGCTGGTGTCGAAAGTATATCCAGAAGTTTGGATGATGCGATTGTGCATCTTCAGTAAAATACAGAAGTAGAACTCGAGAATACATAAACCTTAAGAAAAGAACTAAATGTACCGGGATGTATGTCAACTCCGAAAACCTAGAGAAAAGGGGCGGGAAAATTCTTAAGAAAGCAAATTTCTGATTATAACAGTTACTGAGAATGATCAGACAAGCCTACCTCACTAATACGGCTTTGCAATGCCAGGGCGGGTACTTCCTTCCTTTTCTCCACAATGCATGTGCTACTCGATACGATTGCATCGCAAGGAACGGCAACCCTACAAAACGAAGCAAGGGAAGACATCGTCGGTATTACTCTTGCATTCTGAATGCCAATAAAAAACTTCTCCGAGTACTGCATGACCATAGCCTGAGACCAGTAAGCTATCAGTAAATGTGTTCAAAGATATGCAGAAGTACAGCGCTAATACATCTCCATTTAAGTTTCCTGTTGAATGTCAACTTTCAGACTTTTTATCTGTAAACTACTGCTGCTTGATGGGACATTTTTGAGTGACTTGGTAACCTGTTCATGTGTCTAACTTTTCCCTTACGGTTGATGAGTTTAAGAAATTCTTTGATGTGTCAAACCTTGAACCCCATTATGAAGTTTCACACATTTTTGACAAGTTTAGATTGTAGTTTCTAAAGGTTGACAAGGATCTTGACCAATCTGCACCACGTCTCACACATGAATTTTCATCCAAGGCATCTAGTCATGTTGTCTATGGACATTGCATATTGTGTTGTAATATAGCTTATGGTATAGTCCTGGCTTCAGATCACACGGTTTCAGTCTAAATATATAATAGTGATGGTGATTCCACTTTGAATACTTATCATTGTTATCTCCTTATGTTGCACAGGAAATACCCTGGGAGAAATTGCTGGGGAAAAGGCTGGTATCTTCAAGGTGTTTTTCAGCACTCATATATTGCTGAAGCATATAATTAGCACCCTATCAGCATATTGTTCTTCTTCGGGATCCATTTGGCTTATATAGTCTAATTTCGTGTGGCCCAGCGAGGAGTGCCAGCATTTACTGCGCCTCAACCTGATGAAGCTATGCAGGTGCTTGAAGTGAAAGCTTCTCAGTTGGATGTAAGATGTTCTTGCTTCGCTGGTCAGTTGCCAAGAATTGTAAGATGCATGAAGTAGATTACTTCCTAAATAAACGGATTGACTTTACGCAGGTCATAATCTTTTCAATCCGAAACTTCTTTCCTATTAAACATACGGAGTTCCGTAGCACGAAATGAATTGTAAAACTCGCGGGTGTCTATTTCTCAAGCTTTGTCTAGTTTTTCTTCTGAAATAGCTTGAATACTATATGTTTTCTTGATGGGATTTTCCTCACTTATCAGTGAGCTAAGGATTGATTGTATTTCTATTGCATAATTCCACATGTGAACATATAGTTGATTGACAACATAATAATTCTGCTTATAGGTGAATCTTCAAGTAACACCGCCACTGGATGCCAACCTACTTAATAGTCTGAAACTCGGGCTACTGGGTGAGCATCAATTTCTCAATACTGGTCTTGCTGTTGCTCTATGCTCTACTTGGCTTCAGAGGACAGGTCATCAGGACATAATCTGTCTGCAACAGATGGTAAGCATAATCCTGAGTTCATTTCTGCCGGTATATGTATTTTTGTGTGCTAGAGCAATTTGCCCGAGCAGTTCATTAAAGGGCTGACATCAGCCAGTTTGCAAGGGCGAGATCAGATTGTTGCGGATTGGCTATTAAACTCTGAAAGTTCAGGAGAACTGGTGTTTTATTTGGATGGTGCTCATAGTCCTGAAAGCATGGAAGTATGCGCCAAGTGGTTTTCTCTTGCTGTTAAAGAAGAAAATGAACCTCAGAACTGGTGTAACCAGCAAGGGGGCGACTCTAAATCTGCAAATACAATGTTAGGCAATAACTATGGTAAAAGTTCCGGAAAAATCTCCACACAGGTAGAGCTCATTGACTTTGTTTTACATTTATTTTTAGTATTGATGCGTCGAAAAGACGGTAGGATTTGAAAAAAAGTACGGGATACTTTTGTATGCTTGTGTTCTGTTTTGATGGTCAGTCTGCGTTGATATATTTTCTTACTCTTCTCTCCACATAATATGTTCGAGCAAATGAGAACGTGCATAATCTATGAAATATTACCAACAGTAATTGACATCATTCTAATCTAAAACATCATGAGATTCATGTGATATTATCTTTGTTGATCAGAATCCAACCGTAGTTTCTTTGTATGAAAGAATGGACTTTTATGCATTGACAATAGGCAGGCAGTATTTCATGGTACCTTGTCATGTGGCTTCAAGGACCAGCTTAATGGAAAGAGTTGGCATAGGTTCCAACTATCTTAAGCTAGGAGTTGGCAGATCCGATTCCGCTTGTACAAGACAGTCGGTCGGAATTATTGGCAACATTGTTAGCTTTGTGCAAGAATTTACGATTACCTTTGCAATTCAGCTGCAGAAGTTGATGGCTATTATTTTGTTTCTCTATTTTTGTGTCCTTTTCACAATTGGTCATGGATTTCCTTGGGATGTAGAGAAGTAAAATATGTGGGAATGGTTTTTCTCCTATGACTAATCCATTGTGCCTTTCTTGTGAATCTGAGCTAATTTATGTGATCAATGCAGATACTTCTCTTCAACTGCATGTCCGTGCGAGATCCTAAGTTGCTCCTTCCTCGCCGGATGACTACATGTGCTAGTCATGGTCAAAGTTCAATAGATATTGCATCATCAAGCAGTCCTTTCCCCAATTCGCGACATGAAAAAACATTCTTTCATTTGTCTTCATATTCACTATTTAGAAAGTGAAACCAGGGTAAATGTTTGATATTTTTGTTTTCAGCAACAGATTTAAACATCTCTTTACATGGATCTAGACTGATTTCTGTATAGCTTCGCCATACTTACCCACTGATATTGAGAAACTAGAACTTATCGATGGTCATACAAGCTTAGCTAGTAAGTCTCTAGGTATATGTGAAAGTGGCCAATGGCCATTGCTAGTATGCAATAGAATCTTCCACTGTCGTCTGCTGTTGTGTTGTTGTTTGCCGTTGTTTCGTTCACATCCTATATGTCACGCGTAAGGTCTGGCTTACATGCAAGGGAGTGTTAAAGATATATGCTCATATGCATTCTGGACAAGTTTTCGGACAGCTTAAATTTTTGGAGAAGTGCTTGTTCAATAACATCCATGCATGACCAGCTAAGATACACCTAGAAAATTTTGCTGACTCTGTAAATCAAAGAGTAGAGTCATGTTTTGAAACTAAAATGTAATTATGATCTTTACATAGGCCGAACTGCATTACCAACAAACTAACAAAGCAGTCGAACTACTTGACCAAAAGCAACCTCTTTGACCAGCTTTTTTCCTGATCCCGTTTTAAGGACACTTTCTTCTCCAGCATATACCAGTTATCATTTCCACAAAGATCTCTAGTTCCGCATATTTGTCAGATGCATGGAATTGCTGGGCAGTATGTTAATGTGAGGATGTCTTTTGGACAAATGTATAACGACACGCATATGTATTATAATGTCCAGGAGTGCACTTCAAGAAGGCGCCTTTTGTACCGAACATATCTGTATATTACAAGGTCGGGTCACATGCTCTACCTCCAAGCAATTCTCAAGTTGATTTGTCGTGGCAGCTTGCTCTGCAAAGAGTTTGGGAGAACCTTATCCAAGGTGAAAAAGGTTGTATTTTGTGTGCCTTAGATCTGTCTCTGTTACTCAATGTCTTCCACTCACATATATTCTTCGTACATGTGATGTATAGAAGGCGAGGACAAGAACATAGATGTCGCTGGTGATGAAGTTAGGGATGATACAGAAGCTTGCATTAAAAGTTGTGAGAATAGTGCTGTGTTTTCTTCTCTTCCATTAGCTATTAAGTGGCTGAGGGACAATGCGCAACAGAATCGCTCAGTGCGGTTTCAGGTAAGTGTACTTTATTGAAGAGCATTTACCTGTTTCAGATGTCATGAATCAACTCTGTTCCGTTTGTGAACGTACAATATCTATATTACCTCTTCTGGAAAGAAATGGCTAGCTCATTCCGGTTTTTCGTATTATTTTTTCGCTTGATTATAGCACCTTGTATTTGGAAAAAAACTGAGTGCAACTCAGGCTCGAATGTAATGTTAATTCTTAACTAATTCGTCCATGTTGGTTTTTGGGTGATGTTAAGCACAATTTTTGGTAATTGACTGCATGGTTGGTACATAACTGTGGATAGCCAACCGATAAGTATAGTAGGGCACCTGACAACAGAAATGCTGCAGAGGCCTGGGCACGAATCTAGTGAGAAATACACTATTAATATTTCTTTACCGGCAATGAGACATCAATGCTTAAGATGATTATGTTTGAAAGAATCCCGTATCAATAAATTTAGAAGCACAAGCTTGGTGAATGTCAAATCCAGGAATCGAAACTACAATTTTGTATTTTGCAATCCTAGCAAAAGGGTACTTCTCTTACCTTTTCCTTTTACATGCATCCTTTTCTGCCAATATCATGCGTGCTTTCTCGATACTTGCATAAGGAAAAAGACGACTTGTATCTTTTCTAGTTTTCTTTATGATACTCTTTCAGCTTATGAAAACTTGTCACATGTTAATCATTTTGCCCATTTGCCTTCAAATTTCACATTAGTTTATGAACAAGGAGCCAGAGTGAAATAGTAATCTTCTAGGATGAGAATCTTCACGTATGGTTGACTTGCCTGAAATGCTTTCAACCGGTGCATGGACTGTTGGCTTGATAAAACTTTCATGACATAAACTTTCAACTTGCAGAAGGATGGATCGCCTGTCAAGCTTAATAAAATCAAATGGGGTCAAATTTCCTAGAAATGCACGCTAATTTTCAACTTGACGTTTTTGTGTTCCTTTACTACTGGATGATCGTATCATTTAACTTACAGTTATTTCTTTGGGATAATGTTTTAGGTTCTTGTGACTGGTTCTTTACATCTCATGGGTGACGTGTTGAGACTTGTTAAAAGGTGAAGGTGTCAACCCACTCGAAGCCCTCTTAGATTGCTTTGCTGCGGAATTCGTTGCATCGCGGACGAGTTGGATGTGTCCTGGATGGAACTTGTCCCTTGCACACTAGCAAAAGATCTTCTACTGAAATGCTGAAACTGCATTGCTTGTTCTCAAACTGCCAGGACATTCTTCAGCACCCACAGGTTTTTTTTTTCGGCGTTCTGCCATTATTCTACTTATTTGATGTAATTTATTTGACGTCGAGCATTTGAGCAATAGTCGAAGCAGAGAAGGTTGTTTGGATATCTGTTAAGAGTGGGCTTTTCTCCCTTTTACAGAAGAACACAGGCTCTGTTGTGTTGACCGGAAAGACTTCTATTAACATGAACTGTATTTTTGCTCGTACGTCATTGGAGAAGCAAACAGTGGATTGGCCTCCTTTTGCGACTTCTAAATGTGCAGTTCAATCGCCCATTTTGGTCAACTGGTAATCTGTGCATAGCAATCACAGGATTATTTTTTGGATAATTTGTGCTTTTAAGGTTTTGACGTAAATCACAATCAGATCTAGAGCACGCTCTTGGTTGGATTCAGAAGTAAGATAGACCAAATATTCCAGAGAGTTTTGACGCTTGAATTCCACCCAATAAAAACTAAGTCCTTAAAGCCATCAATTGACCGACGACCAGACCTCAAGTCCAAATTTTTGCACTTACCCCATGTCAAATAAGAGAAACAAAATGGACTTGTACAACTAAACCGTTGCCTATGCATACTTCCTGATAAGAGATTTTGGAAGATCAGACATGTTAATCTTACCGATTCCCCGATCGAAAATCTGCCCCATTAAAAAGGAAGCTTTTTTTGACCAAAAAACCAGGAAGCTTCTAGTTGGTTATCGCGGTTTTCAAACATCCTGTTCTTATTTCATAAGATTATGTATGTGAAAGAGCAGTTACTACTGAGCAGTTACTAGTTCTGATCCAAAATCCTGATTTGGAAATTCTATTGCAAAGCCGATACTACAGGAGTGCACGGTCCTTCCCATTAATGTCTGAAGAGGCTTCCTTAAGTCAAGGACAATAGATCCTTTATCGGTGAGTCATGACATTTGGAATACTATCACAGAAGAAAACCAATACCACTCTGCCAAATCGAAGCTACAAACAAGCTCAACGTATCTGATACTTATTACACACAAACTTATGCTGGCTTGAAGAACACTATCACCAGAATAGAATGACTCTGTACAACAGTGAATTCCTACATCACATAGTACATTTGCATTATCTCTCTTAGCATCTATGCACTCCCCCCGCATGAACTTTAATTAGAAAACTGTCGCTCTTCATCGAGTCAAACAAAAGCAATCGAGAGACTCTAAACACTGAAAGGAAGAGAGATTCAACCGTTTTCCGGCAAAAATGATCGAGCTAAGTTCTCTTATCTCTTATCTCAAAGCAATTGGCGAAGCTGTTGATTTTCTCTGCGAAGATATTTGACTTCTTTCATCAACTCAGCTTGATTTTCCAGAATTGAGGCCATCACTCTCGACATTTCCATCTGTTCAATTGAAGCAAGAAATAATCAGAGAAAATTGAGAGAGGAGGAAAAATGTATATGAGCATACCTCTTGCATATGGAATTGTCTCAATATTTCAATGTGTAGATTTCTCATATCCTCGTGAATTGATTTCTGAAAGGAAACTAGGGTTTCGTCGAGGGTTCGTTGAAAGAGCTGCAATGTAAAGGAACTTCCCTGCTGTGAATCCACATGAGATGTCCTCTGAAAATGTGGTATTCCTCCCTGTAAAAGTAACATATTACTGATTAGATCTTATCATACTGAACATGTACAGTGTAGCAGACAAGAATTCGCCTCCAAAGCCACCACTAATAACTATAATTCATTGAACGATGTAACATATATCCATCGTAAGTGACATGAAAAGAAAGTAGATGGTACTCCCCCATCATGAGACAGACAAAAACATTCTGTGGTTTCTAGAACAAAACATTCCTCAAACAGTTTTGAAAAGCTTACATTGATTGTTGGAAGAGTCCCTGGTTCCAAGGCGGCTGATGTTTCTGACCTAGATAACAAACTGCTAAGAAGCTCTTCCTTGGTTTCAATTCCTGTTTTCTTGGTTTTTGGTGAACCTACTGAATTGGATGGTCCGTCGCTGAAGGAAGAAGTAGTGCTTATTCTCTCAGCATAAGTGGAAAATCGCCGTGGCAGGGTCAGAGATGCTGTTCCAGAAGATTCCACTGTAGTTTGTCCCATCACGCCTTTCGGCCCAAAAGACAAGGACAATGAACTAGAGGGAGGGAGTTCTGAAAATCCAAGTGGAGTCTCTTGAATGTTGGAAGTATCTTTACTCCGCAGATTTGGGTAATCGAAGTTTGAACTTGTTAAAGAGCTGATACTTGTCGGGCTCACTGATGAGGGAAAATCTTGGAACGAAAACATTGATCCTGATGTTTGACTTCCAGCTAACGTTCCAAGACGAGAGGGCAAAGTGAGAGGTTGACGAAGATGAGCATATTTGTCCAATACCTTTTCCCCACCCCAAGCTTCTGGAGGAGTGATAGAAGAATCTTCACTCTTGGATGATGGAGGTGGAGTAGATCCAAGCTGTGTTAAAATTCGATTTTCATCCTGCACAAAGAAAAGAAACCGTACATGGTTTTCACAAATAACTCCTATAAGATGTGTGAGTGGCCTGATTTACAGTAAGACGGTAACAATCCACCGGAGTTACTCTAGCGAAACAGAATGTCTTCCGACAAAATCCCACATAGAGTTATAATCTAACAAAATAGGATGCCTTCTACTCTTCATTGAAAGAAAAACTGGGAAATCCAGGAAATGCGAACCAAAATATTAAAATCACTTTGAAATCAAAATCATATCAAACTCCTAGACTGTTTGTATGAAGACAAATAGGCCTGGTCCATCTTCTACCTTTGCCTCAAAAGAGCCAAAACGTAAATCTGGCTCTCAATTAAGGAAGCAAACAAAAATTGCCATACTGTCTGTATGAGCACGGTCACATTCACAATAGGTATCACAAACGAAAGGCTATAGCATTTTCATGGGACAAGTGAAAGTATCAAACCTGTCCTGAATTGGAGCCGGATTTCCAATCAAATATAGGATGAATGTTACTTCCATCCTCAGTAAAGGGATACCGTCGATTGGATGAAGGAAACAACAGCGAAGAAGGTCTCTTATCAAGAGCAGAAAGATCTTTCTTCCTACCATCATCGTCGTTCCATAGTTTATCAAGTGAGGGCGTAATTGGCTGGACGTCGACAAGGGGAGAGAAAACCTCCATGTCATCCCTCAGGTTAAATGTAGAACGCGGAGCATGCAACCTAGCCAATGTGCCACCAGGCCATAGATGGCTTCTGTTGGGTGTTTCCTCAGATGAAACCAAATTTTGCGTGCTCATGGTTAATCCACTGCTACTTGTTGTCAGCGAAGTTGCATCTAGAGAAAGACTTGATCGGCCAGGATTACGTGAGCCAGATACTGACGTAGACATTGTAAGGTTTGATGATGCTGCGGAGGGAAGCGGATCCGGCATAAGTATTGATTCTTCATCAGCACCTCCAAGAAGAGCAGTCTCAGCCGAACAGTTACTCTCGTTCACAATAACTGGTTTGGCTCTTTGCCAGCATAAACTCGTAACAGCCTGATTAATACCACAAAAACTCAGTATATAGTAAGATTAGGATATCAAGGCCTATTTTCTAATCAGAGTTACTGAAAAGTTTCCTCACCAATTAAATAATGATAGCGAAATTCTAAGTTCACAGCCATTTTAATAAAGCACAAAAAAAGCCTGCAGCAGATATGCTTTTTCCATCATTCATTACAAAATTTAGTTCCACAAGAAGCAGCAGGCACCATTACTGCTGTTCCATTCTGTGGAGCGGGAAGAGAGATACCATTATCCAATTGACAAAGAAGTATATATCACTATACCAAAACCAGGGTAATTCCCTCAGTTGTTCATACAATAAAACGAACTGAAATACATTGGCTGCATCTGGCATGCTAGTGTTCAAGAGAGGTCTTGAATTGGAAAGAGAAAGTTCAACCAAATATATCTAAAAGAAGAAATACTTGGATTTTGTAACATGATGCCAGATCCAAAACCAGCATTGATTGCCTTCAATTCACGAATCAAGAATGAATATAATAGATGGAGACACCAGCAGACAAAGCAGAAAAATCAGCAATAAACTCAATTTCAATCTTTTATAGCATTATCTTGTAACTCATTTTATTTCATGTATTCCCTCATACAAATGCCTTCCTGTATTGTCATATAACCCACTACCATCCAATAAACATTGTGTGAAAGGAGATTTATGCAACAAATGCCTCATCATATTGGTTACATTTGCATACCAACATGCTTCTCTATTCATGGAGACACACACAGTGGCCATCCTTTATGCACGTCAATCTCACATAAAAAAACAGGCTCAGTAATTGTTTTCTGGACCCCGTGCTAGCCCATGCCCACTAACATATCCAACTCAATTTCATTCCTTATCAGGTCAACAATCCAAAGTCAAGAAAAAAGGGGAAAAAAGACTATGCTCTACTCTTGTAAAAGACATGGAAGGACCCATGAATAGTTACAAGCAATTATTGCGACAAAAAATCAGTGTTAAGGGGACTTGATGGGAGTATTGGAGAACAGGAAAACAGTTCAATGAAATACAAGAAAACAAAGACTTGCTTAGGTAGTTCTATGTGCATATTAAGGAGACCATTCACAACACAAAAAAAGATTTACAAAGAACCAACTACAAACAGACAAGTATCCAAGTTTGGAAGTTTCATGCCTAAAGGTAATTACAGAAAATATCGATCACCTCTGAACTGCTATAAGCACGAAGAACAGTGAAAGGTTGAGGCTTTGCCCGGACATCATAAAAAACTATGCGACCATTGCTGGTTCCAGCAGCCAATATCCATCCATCATCTCTAAAAGCCAATGAAG